CCCCCCCCAGAATTTGGGCAGTGGGGGCACCAAAAATTGGGGGGGGGGGGGGTGGCCTGTGGGTCATGTGGGGAAGCACTTGGCCTTTTAAAGGGTGTTTTTATTGTGAAAATCCTCCTTAATCCTCCAATCCTCCTTAATGAGTTTCTTCTGCCAAGGGTTTTGGAAAGGTCCCAGCCCTGCGGAAGGTGCCTCAGGTGCTGCAGCCGCCCGCGAGGGGTCCCGGCTGGAAAGATGCCCCCAAAGCAGCCTTTTAAAGAGGGTTATTTTTAATCCTTTCAAGCTGTAATTTCTCTTAATGAAGAACCGCAGCGCCCGTGCTCAAAAAAAGCCACAATTTGAACAAAAGTGCTGTCATGAAACTCATAAATTCCAGTCGAGAGCCGCCCGCTCCGCCCGGCGCAGGGCTGGAGGAGGTTTCTACCCCCTGGGGGGGCAAGGGGTGAATTTATTTGGAAGATAATAAAAAATAACTCAACTACTGAGGGTTTTCCTCTAATGAGCAAACTTGTTGGAGGGTGGAAGGTACAGAGGGGACCTTTCACACCCCCCTGAAGGCGCAGCGTGGGCCGGCGATGGCTGTGAGCTCAGCCCCCTGCACAACATCCTGAAATTCTATTTTTACACGCCCAAAATGGGATAAATTCCCAGAGGATTGGTCTCGGCATCCCCCTCGCCACTGGTTTTACTGGTTTGCTTGAACAGGGGGTCTCTGCTTGCCTCAGCTTGCCCAGATTCTCTTTCTGGGGGCGATGGGTGAAGAGAGCCCTTCGGAGAAACCTCGCAGCTCTTGGTTTTTCCAGATTTTTCCCTTAAAATGCCTTTCCCTTCCCTTTTTTGGGGGGGTTATTTAATTTTGAGTGTTTTTTCCCTTACCATGAGGCAGCCTCAACCCCAAAAAGTCAGAGCTTTGACCCAAAACCTTCCTTTACCCTAGGGAGAAAGGAGTTGGACTGCAGCAAAACCTCATCCCTGCCGGGATGGCTCCGAGCGTTTCCAGATTTTTCATCCCAAATGCTTTTCCCCTCCCTTTTTTTGTTGCTTTTTGGGCAGGTTGATGCAGTTTTGAGTGTTTTTACCCTTCGTCTGAGGCAGCCTCGACCCCAAATTCAGAGATTTGCCCCCAAAACTTCCTTTTTTTGGAAGGAAGGAGCTGAACCACAGCCGGCGAGCGACCAAAAAAAAAACCAACCAGACCAACTTGGACTTTCCAC